ATTAACACACACTAATAAACACACAGTAAGACACACATTAACACACACTGATACACACACTAATACACACACAGTAACACACTCTCTGGGTCCACCTGAGCAGCGGGTCGGAGCTGCAGCTCCACCTGTTGGTCAGAACCAGAAGCAGAGGGACCAGCAGGTGGCGCTGCAACAGGAAGTGAACTCCATCCTGACCTGCTGCTTCAGCGGTCATGTGACCGACATCCTGTGAGAAACTAAAGATCTGATTTAATTATCATCAGCTGTATTGATTATTCAGTAATTGGCCTTTTTAGAGTCTGAATGCTCCAGTTAACGATTATTTACTAAATTAGCTGACAAGAATTTTAATAATCGATTCATCACAACTAATCATTTGAGCCTTAATTTATTACATTAAATCTGACTGGATTAAACAGGAAATGAACAGAAAAATCTGATTTCCATCTAATCAGAAATTATATTAATTATTGTTCATCCATTTCTCGGGATTAAACTGGATTATTTTAGATATTATCTGGAGGATTAAATGTTATTAAACAGCAGAAAATCTGAACAGAAACAGTTGATCATCAGTTTAATGGATGTTTGTGTAACGGCGCCGTGCTGCCAGGCTTCAGAACCAGAACCAGAACCTTCCCTTGAGTCCACTTCCTGAGTTTATCCTCCTCTAACCTGAAGCAGCTCCTCCCTTCAGCCTTTAACAAAGTTTAAACCGAACATCCAGAGGAGAAGACGTTCAGCGGCCATGTTTGTTTCTGAGCTGCAGTACCGCCAGCTGCCGCCAGGGGGCGACGCCTCCCACAGATAAACTGCTTTAACTTTGTTTATGAAATAAGAAAGAGAAAAAGATGCTGAATGAAACCCAGATTATAGTGATTAGTGTGAGTCGGACCAGAACCAGAACCAGGAGGAGGTGGAGCTACCTGGTGCTGCTTGGGTCATGTTGAGTTCGCTGGTGATCAGAACCTCCAGAACCTGAACCAGAGGATCCAGAGTGGAATCAGACCTGGACAGAACAACAGAGACCCGGTGAGACCCGGCGGTACCGCTAGGACCTGCTGGAATGTTCTGGGTTCTGGTACCGACCCAGGGGGCTGCCTGAACAGAAGCGGGCTGAAGTTCTCGGCCAGAACCCGCGGGCTCAGCTGGTTCCTGGAGCCGTGCAGACAGAGCCGGGCCAGGTGCCGGACCACGCTGAGCAGGGTCAGCCCGAACTGGGCCGGGCAGGTCGGCGAGCTCGCCACGCCCCGCAGAACCTGGGCGCACTCCTCCGGGTCCCGGACCTCTGCGGACAGAACCAGGGGCATTAAAACGGGTCAGAACTTTTCACCAGCGCCTGACTGACAGGAGCGCTGGCCGCCCCGGTTCTGGTTCTGCTGACCTTGGACGGCATGGCTCATGTCGGCCTGCAGCGAGGCGGGCAGGACCGGACCGGGCAGGTCCTGCAGGAACCGGACCACCCCGTCACACAGAGACGGCACGTCCAGCTGCTCCGGCTCTGAAAACAAACGCACCTCAGTCAGACGGAACCGAGCGGACCACAGCCGGACCGCAGGACGGGTTCTGGCTCCTCACCGGTGTCGGCCAGCTGCCGGGTGTCCAGAACTCCTCCACTCATGCTGCGGTACAGAACCGGGCTGTCGGAACCTGCAGAGACACAACAGGAATCTGATGACCAGACGCTGAAGGTCCAGTAGACACTGGGTTCTGTTGGTTCTGAACAGTTCCACAGAGAGACCCGATCCAGCGGAAGCTACAGAATCGGGTCGGGTTGGACCCGGTTCTCCAGCTTGGGCCTACCTTTGGTCTCTATGAGCTCCATCAGTCTGCTGAGGAGCGGCGGCGCCGTGTCTGGAGGTCCGAACTGCTCTGGCAGGTCCGGCAGAACCAAACCTGAGCAACAAACACAAAGAGTCAAACATGGAGGTTCTGGAACCCCGACGAGCGGCGCCGTCTGGTCCAAAGGTTCTAACAGAGAACGTCTGGATAAACAGAGCCAGGTTCTGGTTCTGATGGCTCAGTTCTGTATGAGTATCAGACTAAGCCCAGATCTCTGACTTTCAGGCAGCAGATGCTAGTAAAGCTAAGCTAACAGTGCTAAAGCTGCTCTGTTGATGATGAGCCATTAGGATTTAGCACTTAGCTAATGCTAAATACCAACACAGCACTGAGCAGAGCTAATGCTAAGGTCTTAGCATTAGCTAAGTATCATGTTGGTGTAGCACTTTAGCATTAGGTTTTGCTAAATACTGTGTTGGTGTAGCGCATTAGCATACACCAAACTAGTATTTATGATCAGGGCTTCGTGTTAGCGCAGTTAGCGGTTCAGTTAGCGATGTCCAGCAGTGTCAGGATGTTCAGAAAGTGAAAAGTTTCTGACAAGTGAAACAGAAACGAACATGGAGTTGTGGGGATTTTGGTCAAATTACATAAAACCATTTTGCTGCTCAAACCGAGCAGGAAGGAACCAAACGGATGCAGATAAACCAGCAGACGATCGATAACACGACGAGTTCTGAATGAGCTGCTGAGCCTGGAGAGCCCAACCCGACCCGGTTCTGATGGAGGAAGCTGCTGCAGGCCCAGCTGACGAAGCTCTCCTCGTCTCCATGGAAACAAAATGCAGCTGGTCATAGAAAGGCAGAGAGCTAAAACCTGCAACATGTTCGTTTCTGAGAGGAAACCAGAGGAGGAAGAGCAGCAGTTCTGTGGAACAGGCAGGTAATGACAGTAAACACACACACACACACACACACACACACACACACACACACACTTCCTGTGCTGCGCTGACGGCAGCAGAATGCAGTCAGTTGTGATCAGTCAGCAACCGCAGCCCTGACTAAACAGCAGCTGGGACGGTCCGGGTCGCTGCAGAAGGTCTGATTGGACCGGGCCTCACAGAGAACCAGAACCTGGGAGCTGGACTCACCCTCTGACTCTGAGTCGGTCCTCACGGACGCGGCGGATGGCGGTCTGGGTGGGCGGGGCTTCGGAGTGGGCGGGGACATCCTCTTCCTGCCGACGAACTCCACATACGTTCCTGGGAAGTCGCCTTTCTCCTGCCAGAACCAGAACCAGAACCAGACAGAGGCCGACTGAGCGGTTCCGACCCAAAATCCATTTTGCTGCTAATTTATGGATCAAACAGATCTGAGCTCAGCAACAGAGACACTGAGAGGTCAGAAATGAAGCTGGACGTGTTTAAACCTGAAACAATAATCAATAAATCAATTAATAAATGAAAAAAACTCATTTCCATTTGCATTAATGATCATTTTTCTCTTCCGACTAAAAACAGGTCGATGAAAGTCTGGAGTTTGGGTCTCAAGTAAAAATGGTTTCATTTTGCTTACAGTCCTAATTCATTTATTTGTCGTTTCTGTTTTGTTTATTTTTGATTATTTTAAACGTCTAAATGTTCCAGAGTTAAATGTTCATCAGAATTAAAAGTTTATTCATCTTTGAGTGTTTATTATGGTGTGTCAGATTTACAGGCGTACCAGAAACACTGGAACACAAAGGTTCCCGCTGGAACTGTTGAATATGAAAAGAAAAATGTGACTAACTGTTAAATTTTTAATGTAATTAATTAATCAGAATAAATGCGTTTCAGTCCCAGTCTGACTACAAACTAATATGAAATGTGTAGATTTCCAGATTTCTGTCTTTACACCAGAATAAATAAAACCATGCAGAAATCTGTTGGGTATGAATAGTTATGAGCTGCATTGATGTTAGTAATTTATCGTCATGGCAACGTCCAGTAAATCCCAAAGGACTGATTGGACCAATAACTTGTTAGCTCTAATGACGTCATCTCAAAGGTTAAAGGTCACAGACAGAGAAACCGGCCCTTCCTGGCCCTGGCAGATCTGTGGCGGGTCAGAACCGGTACCTGCGTGGTCTCGTTGAAGCCCGGCAGCCAGCCGATCTCAGACGGCCGCTCCTCGTCTCCGCTGCCGCAGCCCAGCGCCAGCAGCGCCCCCCTGCTGACCAGCAGCATGTCCCCCACGCGCAGGTCGATGTCCTCCTCCCGCTCCTTCTTGTAGTCGTACAGCGCCCGGTACTGGAAGCCCTCGGAGCTCATCCTGACGCCGGTCCAATATGGCTTCACAGCTCGTAGCAAAAATCAGCTCTGGGTAGAAAACGGTAGAAAAATACGTTCCTGCAACGTCCTGAGAGCTTCTAGAGGGAAGAAGAGAGTAAAGATGGCGTCTCCAGCTGCGCGCGCGTCTCTCCGCTCTCCATGTCATCCCTCCTGCTGCGCCCAGCGCCGCGCCGCCACACACGCAGCTTCCTGCTGCATCAGCTGGAGGTCAGCGGGGGTCACACGACACATCTGAGGGGGACACGGCTCCACCTGGAGGGCTGGAGGACAAACTGCACGTTAAAGGTCACAGATTGCTGGAGGTTAGAGGTTAAAGGTTACATGCTGCTGCAGGTTAAAGGTCATAGGCTGCCTCAGTCATCCAATCAGAGACCTCTCAGAGTCAGCAGACTAATCACTTCCTGTTTGTGTTTTTTCCTGCTGCTGCTCAGAGTTTCCACAGGACGTCGTTTAGCTGCTCAACTCTTTGAACACATAAATGATGACGACCTTCTGAGGTCGTCCAGAACGACCGCTCTGCTGCCTCTAGATGCATCTCTGACCCAAAACACCTGAAGAAGAAGACAGGAAGACCTGCCCTCGTCTGATTGGCTGTTGGAGCCAGGATGTTCGAGTTTCAGCTGTTTTCAGTCTGAAACGGTTCAGCAGATTCTCAACAGTAAAAAAAATATCAGTTTGATGAAAGATAAAACATGTAAAATACCAACTTCCTCAAATTTAACACAAGAAATAAAAGTTACTTTTCTGCCATTAAGCGGCAGATTGTGGCAGAAATCAGGAAACTGTGAGTGGGTTTCTTATATTCCAGTTGTTTTATTAATAATTACGGTCGTCAGTTGTTGAGTCATCACAGCTGATAGAAAACATGCAGAAACACGTGAATCACTGGTTTAGAGGAACTTATTTGATTTAGGGGAAACGTCTGTGGGGTTCAAATTTACTCCTACAGTTAAAAACATCGACTGACATGTTGGATCAAAACATCTTCACGAAGCTTTTATGATCAAATTTTAAATTATGTCAGATTATTTTTTAAGCTGAAAAAGTTTTTTATGTTCTAACAAATTCAGAAAAATAAAATCAAATAAAATCACATAGAAAATGATTTGTTTGTTTTTAAATCTAAAAATAAATGTTAATCGCTTACTTTTAAATAAAACATGAATTTTATTTTAAGATGGTCGTTTTTCCAGCTGCGTTCATGTTTTCAGGCAGCAGGAGCAAACAGGCCGACCTCTGACCCCTGGCTTGTATATTTTCAGGAACAAGGATGTTTATTTGAGCCATTTAAACAATTTTATTACAGTCATGTAATAAATTTAGAAAATAAAATAAACAGCAGGAAAAAAACACTAACATTTATTTGAATATTTCTAGCTTATGATTTATTTGGTCTGTAGCTTTAAACAGCTGCATCCTGGACATTTCTGAGTTAATATAATATTTATTTGCATAACTTTAGTTGTACTGATGTAAATGGCGTAAAATACGTTATTATAGCTCACAGTATGTTTAAGTAATCTGTCATTTTTCATTTAAGCCTTTGAAAGTAAACAGAGCAATTCGTCTCTCTTCACCTTATTGGAGCAAAAATGAATCTTAATCAACTCTCAAAATCAGATTTTTATATTTCAACTGATTTTGATCAACTTGATTCAAAATACCATGTTTGTGTGTTTACATAGAAATAGATAATTAAACCTTTTTAATTAATAAACATTTTGATAAATTAGTTTTAATTACTGGTAACCCAAATATTTTGTCATTAATATTTATATGTAATGATGAACATGTAACATATCAAAGGGACCTATTGCAAATAAATTTGCACAATAAAATCCACATTTTAGGGATAGGAAATAAACTTAAAGTATAAAAATACAATAAATTTTCTCATTTTGTCTCCAATAACAATAGTAATAATAATAAAGGCTGTTTCAAGCTGGTTAAATTTGAGAAAAATATATTAATATTTGTTTTGATGGTGTGTAAAAATAAATTTTGAAAAATATTTAAACATATTTCTAAAATGATCTTCCGATTAGCTTATGTGTATATTAGGTTATTAAATATGCGACGGACCTTGTTAATGCAAAACATACATTTATAGACGAGTTTAGAAAAATGCGTAAAATTAATTGTTTATAAAGCAACATTATAATAACAAAATGTTTCTGATAAAATATTTAGTTTTTAACGAATCTGCGGTGATGAACAGAGAAAATGAACCCATCGTCTCTAAAGACACATTTCAGCTTTGTAAGGTCCTTTACCTAAAAACAAGCTAAAGTTTCTGTTTTTCTGCAGGCCGCCATGATGTTACACGGGATTTAAAAGCTAAAGCTGCTCTATGAAGCAGCAGAACCAGGACAGAACCAGGAACCCGACCAGAACCGCTCCAGGAAACAGGAAACCAGCAGCTAGCCGTGCTAGCTGAAGGAAAACAGCTCTCACCTTGTTGGTTCTTTAACTTTTTCACCAACCGAACCGTCCAGCAGACCGAACTCTGAACACCATGATGGATGCCGCCTCCACTGGTTCTCCAGAACCGAAAAATTCCGTTAATTTAGCGAAAATCCTCAGGATGGAGACGCTGGCAGATCGGAAGACCGTGTCCGTTCAGGTTGTCGACAGCAGACTGGCATCAAGTTCGTCGCTACGCACACTCACTTCCGGAGTAGACTGTCAAAATAAAAGAAGCCAAACAGATCACGTCGTCAAATCCTTTAAAAATATTTGTTTCTGGTATGAAACTTGTCGTGTGGCAGATGAATAGTACAATTAGATCACAGATTTTTCATGAAACTTTATTTTTGCTCTTAGAAATTTGAGCAGAACCAAACGAGCCGCCGAGACCTTCAGAATAAAAGCTGCATGGGCGAGGATGTCAAGAAACTTAGCATCACGATCAAACTGCGTTTTAAGTTGAAATATTACCAGTCATTATTACCTGTAATTTCTTTTTTTTTTTTTTACTGTTCATCCAGCATGTGCTGCGATGAAACGTTATAAAGATGGCTTAGACAGATTACAGCTGGTCACGGGAGGGGGGCTGGGCACTGACGTCACATCCGCTAACCTAGATATTAAAGCAGCGTGCAGGGCTGTCAGACAAAGGCGGAGTGGGGGGTTGCTGTGTTCGCTGAGCCCAGGCTTTCCACAGCCGCTGCGTGGGCGTGATTTCTGTGTCAGGAAAACTGGGAGACTCCGGCATCACGTGACTGCTGCTGCGGATTTTCCAGAACAAACCGTCTGCACATCATGCGGGGCTGTGCGTGCAGCTTCCGCCACCGCAGAGGCTGTTCATGGAAAAACAAGCTGCTTTATTTATAGCAGAGTCAAAAATGCAATCATTAAGAACAGTTTATTAATAAATACAGAAGAAATCATAAGACTCAAACCACATCTTAACTCAACTCATTGATGGTAAAAACAGATTCTCTAAAAACATTTAAATATTTATACAAGAGGAAACTAAGACAGCCTGACATGTTTCTGAGATAAAACTGTGTTTATCAGCAGTGAAATAAAACTGATTTATTCAGCAGAAACATCGATTCATCCAGGTAAAATTCATGGGTCCATAAAAATCTCCACCTTCCCCCCAGTAAGTGACGTGTGTCGGTCCGGTTCACGCTCTGCTTCAAAGTCCAGCAGAACTCACTGAACCGACATGTAAAGGAAAGAACCAGCAGCAATAATCTGGGTTATTGGTCCGATCATGGAGAGAAACAAATGAGGGTTTCTTTCACAGCCATAATTTAACCACATCATTCATTCATCTATAAATGTCACAGGGAGTCACTTCGTGAGTCAAAAACAGAAATCGGCGCCCCGCCCCCCCCCAACAGGAAGATACGTAAGGGTAAAGGAGCATAGAAAACATGTTTACACCCCGAGACAAAGACACATGAAAGGTAAAACTCGCTACATTTACATGTGAAGGAGCGTAACGGCGCGGTGAAGTGTAAGCGAAGGCATCATCGGGGCGCCGCCCCCTCCAGACGGGGTTTTGACGCCCCCTCTGGTGCAGCGCCCCTATGCGCTGCATAACCACTTTTTGCGCCACTGCCTGGTAGCTAAACATGTAGAACATTTAGCTTGCTAGCTAATATTCAGTCAGCCAGCTATATGTACTTCTACATGTTTAGCTAACTAGCTAAACATTTATGTTGCACACTAAATGTTGATCTTGCTACTTAAATATGCATTATGAAGGTGTGGCATTCATAAATGAATGAATGAGGAAAATGAGTCCCCATCTTTCCTTGCATGCTGAGCTAAATAAGCCACATTATTGCTGCTGGTTGTTTCCTGTTTGGTGGTTCTGTCCAGCCGGACCCGGTCTACATGCTGAAGATGTTCCCCAGTCGGTGGACGACCAGGTGGATCCGACCCGCCAGCCGCAGCTCGTCCTTCAGGTGGCGCCCCACCTGCTCACAGTGCAGGACGTCGCAGAACACCCAGATCTCCGCCCGCTCCCGCTGGATGTTGGCGTTGCAGGTCGGCAACCCGGAGCGGCTCAGGCAGCGGATCAGGCAGCGCCACGCCTGGAGGGACAGACAGTTTCATCATCAGTTTCAGAAAATGTTTCCTGGTGACGATCACTGCAGGGAAACACGGACGGATCGGAACTAGACTGGTTTTTATCTTATTACCTAAATCCGTCCAGCATCACCCAGGAACCAGACCTCAGTGATCGCCTGACCCAGTTCAGGGTCAAAGGTGATGTAACCGTAAACAGAGACGGAAACGCTGAGCGGACGGAAATCTGATAAAAATGATGAACTCAGCATAAAAAACTGATAAAGATCCAGAATCCCAGCAGAAACGAACCGGCCAGAGTTCTGGATCTGATTCTGGTTCTGATCTGCTGGGTCACATTTATGATCAGGCAGAGAGGAGGACACCAAAGCAGAAAGGGTTAAAAATAAAACCTCTTTTCTTTTTATTACAAATTCAAATTCAGAATAAAAAGGTATCTTAAAAAAAGACTTATTTCAGTAATTTCACCTGAAATGAGCAAAAATCATCCGTCGAACCAGATGATGGTTCTTGGTTGGTTCATGTCTCCTAAACGAACCCAAGGAGTGAGCTGGTGAAAAACATCTGGATTTCCAAAAATTAAATCTTCAAAAAGAGAAAAGCGGATAGATTTACGGCCCAATGGGAGGAGCCTAACCGTCCCTGATGTCAGCTCAGGCCCAGCTGGACTGGAAGCATCCAGGTGTTCAGAACATCTGGAGGGGTTTGTGTGTTTCCCTCTAAATGAACAGACAGGAAGTCGGTCCAGTGGAAGCCCCGCCCCCTGCAGCCACTCACCTCCTCCAGGTCGCTGCAGTTCTGCTGGGTGATGACCCACTTGGCGCGCTGGCGCAGGTGGAGCTGGTGGAGGGACACCAGGCGATGGAGACGCCTGGACAGAGACATGCGGCTCTGCAGCTGGACTCCGCTCTGCCTGGAGATGCTCCAGGACCTCCGGACCACCGGGACCTCTCTTTCCGTCCCTGGACCGGTTCCAGGTGCCGCGGGTTGGATACGGCCGAGAGCGTCCTCCATAGGCCCAGGCTTGGTCTCTGTGAGGGCGCCCCCTGGTGGGCCGATGCGGGGAGGCAGTTTGGCCGGTCTGATGGGCCGGCGGTGGGCGGAGCTGCAGGGGAACCAGGGCTGGAAGGCGGGCGGCGGCCGGAGGGCCATCGGCTCCAGCAGCCTCTGGGTCTGCTGCAGCAGGGCGGAGAGGCGCAGCGCCGAGCCGGGCCGGTAGTGCAGAACCACACGGTCCATCCAGAGGGACCGGATCACAGGACAGACAGGACAGCGGTCCTCTTCCTCCTCTTCCTCATGACGGCTCAGACAGAGACAGGCTGAGGAAACACACCACTGCTTTTAGTTCACACATAAAACACTAAGTTAGAGGCGGCCATTATCACATCTTTTATCACGATAAATTTAGTATATTAAAATTTTGATTTAATGATGTTCAAAACACCCAAACTGACCGTTTGTTACTTCTAGTATTTTCTCCACTGTTTATTCAATATAAATACCAATAAATATTAATTTGAAAATGTAATTAAACTGAGTTACTTTGAGCAATTTAGTGACATTAACTGAACTTCTCTGTGGTAAAGAAGCGTATTACAAATAGCTATTAAATTCAAACATACTTTATTGATCCCAAAGAAAAATTAAATGTGTTTTCCTAGAGCAGTATCTGTGGAAGAATGAGCACCGTGTCAAACAACTACCTAAAAACAGTAAAGGTTTTATCGTACCTTTTATCATTATCGAATTATTACCATCAAATATCGTGTTAAGTTTTATCACGTCCGTCCCTATGAACTCGACTTTTAAAAAAGAAGATTTACAAAAATATTTTAGCTTCTATTTTATTTTTATTCTGGAGGATCAGTTTGCTGCTGATGCAGAAATAAAAGGCTACAGACTGAACGGGCCTCAGTTGTGTTAAAAGTCCTCCACCTTGTGGCCGGGGTGGGTAATGTCAAGATGTTGTGTCAACAGTCAATATTTAAAAAATAAAGCTGCATGAGAAAGGTTATGTAGCACAGATAATCTAAAACGTAGGTGTTACCGACAAAAACTGGGATATTTTTGTGAATATAGGTGATTAAAAGAGGAAGAAAAAACAACAATGAAAAAACAAAGTAGAACTAAAAACACAGCAGACGATCCTTTCTAGTTTCTGTGGTTACGGCGGCAAAAAAACAGCAGTTAACTTTAACCTTGTTTTGATTCCCATAACACAATATTTCTAATGTTGTAGTAGAACTGATTTTCAGCTGGAAACAATAATAAACACGATAACAGTTGTAAAAACAGCAACACAAGAGCCTCTGAGAGCTAATGTTTATAGCTTGTTTAGCCGTTAGCATGCTAACAGATTATTATTGGCTCAGGAAAAACCTTCATACGAGCCAAAACCAGCAAACATGAAGCTAAGCTGGTACATAAACAGAGCAGCCATGTTTTATGTTTCATGTTTCATACTCACCAGACCAACTTGGTTTCTAGACACGAACAACCGACGCCATCATGGAAGTTGACGTCGCTTCACGAGAAATCTCGCGAGTTTTCCGTATTCCAGCAGCTTCACCGGAAGTCTGCTCTTATATTATGTCTAAGAGTCTGCTGATCTCGGCGGGGCCGCCATGTTGGGAAGGGCAAAAGAGGCAGACAACCTACTAGAACAAGGTAGCTGATTAAAAGAAAATGTTGGTTTTAAATTTTTCAGAGGCATTTTATTAGTTGAACTTTCAATAAAATTCTTTTAAATAGGCTTAGTCTTTTCTTAGAACCCAAGTATGCTATTTTTAGTAGGTGTATTTGTAACTTATTTTGTAAGATCTTTTCTGGTATGCCTGATGTCTCCACTGACAGACCATCTGTACTCTGTATTCTGGTCTCTGTGGATTTCTGGCAGCAGTTTGTGGAAGCAGCTCAGCTGCAGCAGCCATGTCTGCTCTGGTTGGTGTGTTCAGTTAACATTAAAGTTCCAACAATCAGCTGCACCTCTTAGCAGTTCCAGCGAAAATGCTGCCAGTCCAACCAGTTACTCATTGTGGACTGTAGAACAGCTCCACCCCGGTGGCAGCAGGTTGGTCCTGATTTGTTCTCGCTCTTGTTGCCGTTTGGACATTTATTCCCTCTGGTTCTGGATGCTGTGCAGCTGGAAGGATACAGCAAGTCTTCAGTCAGAGGCCTCTCTCTGTTGAATCACTGACTGCTACTGGAGGTTTTTCCTCAGTTTAATGCTGACAACAGCTGAGCTACATGAAGCAGATTCTGTAGTTCGCAGCTACTGCAGAGCAGCGGGAGCAGAAGAAGAGACGGAGGCTGCGGTAGTTTGTCAATAGGACATTTTATTTCATACGTCTGTTGTCTTACAGTAATATAGTTGCTGAGATGACCACCGGCTGCAGCCTGGACACCTAAAACTGACAGCTGGACTACTTGAAGCAAACTTTTTTGTTCCTATATCTTTAAATCTTAAAATGATGTTGCAACAGAAAAAAAGCACATTTGCCATCAGATGTGTGGTGACGTCATGTCGGGTTATAGAGAGGTGTAAAAAAGAAGAAGAAAGAAACCTGCGATGCTGTAAAAGGATCTGAGTATGGCACATTTGGTCCACGTCGGTCGTTTTATTATCTTGTTTTTCTCAGACATGTAAGAAAGGAAAAGGAAAAAACTAAAATAGATGATAGTTTAGGTGTTTTTCTCCCCAGAAGCACAGCATTAATGACAGCATATCGACAACACGGCTGCAGAGGAGGTCGTTTCTCTGTGAGCTTAAAATTTATCAGCCAATCAGGATCACCCTGGTACAGAAACATCATCAGAAATATTAATAACTTCTTTCCATCCAAAATGAGAAGGGGTGGGGGTGAGAAAGGTGTGTGTGGAGGCGGGGCTGTTCGTGGATGACGGACAGGAAGGGGGCGGGACATTCACAGGAAGTAGTCAGGCGTGCGTCTGGTCACGTGAGGCTCACCGCGGCGAGGGGCGGGGTCAAACTGCAGGCTGAGGACGAAAACATTCAGTTATGATCAGCTGACAGGAAGTGACATGAAAAAATACTAAAACATTCAGTTCATTCAAATATGCAAAAAATAAAAGTTAAATAACCTGAAAGTTTATTAGAATAAAATTAAAATGAACATAAAAATGTTATATCTAATAGTGCAATTTTCATCTCAGGAGGAATTACTCAATATTAGCTGATTATTTAGATATGATCAATTTGGTGGATAAAAATAATTGGCACATTAAATAATCTAATTTATTCATTAGAATGCAGATTAATAATAGTTTCAGTCCTGAATAGGTGAACTTCCTGCAGCTCTTCGCTCGGTCGACTCACAAAGAGTATTTGAGGGTGTCGTCCAGTTCCATGATGGCCGCCTGGTTGCCACAGCGATAGCAGTAGTTGGGAGCACTGAAGATGGTCACCACGTTCTTGTCGTGGCCCCAGTTGTAGCCCTGATGGACGGAGCAGAATCAGACCCTGAACGCATCGTTCTCCGCTCTAACGCTCAGATCTCTGATATTCTGTACGTTTCACTTCGACTCCATGATCTCATCCTCCAACCAAACAAAACGCAACGTCGTTCACACAACATCTGCTTAACAATATTAAGTAGTGTGGTTGCCGTGGCGACCCGTTACCTCCATGACCAGCTGATGGGCGCGGGACACCAGCGTGAGGCCGTTGGCGTGGTTGAACGTCTCTGAGATGTCCTGACCGAAGGTGTAGCCGGCGCCGCGGGGGGAGATGCCCCACCCGCCGCGGTCGTCCGGGTCGGACCACAGCAGGTCGCACATGGGGCCCTGAGGGACACAGACAGTTACAGCGGGCAGACAGGGAGTACGGGGGGCAAACTGGGGGCGCGCGTACCTCATGTGGGACCTCCTGCAGGCGGTCCAGGGCCCGTATGTGGTCCAGAGTGTCGATGGATGGAGACAGGCCTCCATGGAGACAGAAGATCTGGAGCAGACAGGAACACGTTAGCTTTAGGCTAACACCACAGCGCCCCCCGCTGGCGCCCCTCCCCGCCTCGCCGGCGCCCTCACCTGGCCGTCCACCAGCGCGGTGAGCGGCAGGTAGTCGAACAGGTCTGTGAAGTACTTCCACACGTTGGCGTTGCCGTATTTCCTCAGGCACTCGTCGTAGAAGCCGTAGACCTGTGTGATCTGCCGGGACTCGTGGTTCCCCCGCAGGATGGTGATCCGCTCTGGGAAGCGCACCTGGAGGGCGAGGCCAGCGGAGGTCAAGGCTCCGTTACAGCACAGTTACAGCCAATCAGGTCAAAAACTGAAAAATCTGACTCTGTTCCTGCTCAGTGAACGCATCAGAGCCTGAGGCAGTGATTGTGTTCCAGGAAGCAGTCTGGATGACGACTCAGCGATTCTGAGGTCACCAGTAGCTGCTCTTCCTGTCTGACATCACTTCCTGCAGCAGCTCTGGACTCTAATCATTTTACAGGAGCAGCAGTAAAGCTGCAGGACGACCTCTGACCTCTGTCCAGCAGGCAGCGTTACCTTTAACGTGACCAGCAGGGTGACCGTCTCCACAGAGTAGTAGCCTCTGTCCACGTAGTCGCCCATGAACAGGTAGTTTGTGTCGGGAGACTTCCCTCCGATCTTAAACAGCTCCATCAGGTCATGGAACTGACCGTGAACGTCGCCGCACACCGTCACCGGGCATCGCACCTGGAGAGGGGGCGGAGCGTTAGACACAGCCTGGGAAACATGGCCGCCTCCCACCATCAGTCACAACAACCTGGGAAACATGGCCGCCTCCCACCATCAGACACAACAACCTGGGAAACATGGCCGCCTCCCACCGCTACAGAAACCAGACTAACGGCTTTAAGGCTCAACAGTGAAAAAGACGCTGGAGCTTCAGATGTTTAATATTAATAACTACATAAATCAGCTGATTCTCTTTCTGATTCCAGCTGTTCAAACTTCCAGAACAGAACCAGATATGGTTCTTGTGACCCAAACCCAACAAGGTTCTAAATGCAGTAAATTATTAATTAAAATCAGTTTTCACAGATCTGCAGTGAATTCAGATTTAAAAGCCGATGTTCTGCAGATTTTTCATTTTACCAATTAAAGCTTTTTAGACAATATTAGAAAAACATTGAAAGATCAGAGCTAATAATTTATTTCCCTTTGTCAAGAAAACATTTTATTGCCTAAAGTGAATTTAGATGATCAAATTATTTCAATAATCAATTTATCATTCAGATTAATTCCTAGTTTTAAACTAAGTTCAGATCATTTCTGAACTGAAACTAAAGTCTGTTGTGTTTTTCAAAAACAATAAAAATTATTTAATGTTTAATTTTAGAGACAGAATCAGATGTAGTTCTACATTCTTCCTGCAGGGGGGGTTACTCCCAGACACCGCTGTTATTCCTGCCGGAGCGGCCGGTTCTTCCAGAACCTTTAATAGACCGCTGTCCCGTCTCCAAGGAAACGCACTGAACACGTTAAAAATGTCGATTCAGTCAGAAAAACTAAAATGTTTCTCAGAAACAGAAAAGTGACATCAGAGAAATAAAATGTTTGAGAGGTTCTGGTTCTGTCCAGACCCGTTTGGATCGCTGTGACCAGAACCGGTTCAGAGAAATTAACTCACTTCCTGGACGTTGGACTCCTTGGTCAGAATCTCCTTCGCCTGAAAGGAAAACACAATCAGAAGATCAAAAATCAATATCAGGATATGGATCAATCACATCACACAACTTCATCACGTCCTTCAGCTCCAGGGTCAGAACCGACCCGTTTCCATGGAAACCACCCATGGAGGACATAAAGCTGGTCATGACACTTTGTTTTCAAATGATGATAAAATATTAAATATTATTATGACTAACCAGCAAAACAAACTATTATTTAGTCTTTATTTTCTAACCTGTTTATTAAAAGCTGCATCATGAGGATGACAGTCGGCTTTCCTGAGCCTCAGATCAAAACAAACATGGCCGACAACGCGTCTGATTGGCCGATCAGTCAGTCAGGTTGTACTGGAGCCAATCAAACATCCCATAATAAACACAGATCTGCTGCCATCTGAGATTCATTGGATTCATTTTCCTTCATTCTCTGTTTGACTCATTTAGGGGAATAAAAGGAATTTACAGTTCAGCTGATGAACGCTTTATTTTCCCTCCAGAGCTGAAGGAACAAACTGAGGTTCTGATCCGGGTCGGGTCGGGTCAGAACCACCTTCCCTCTCTGAGAGTCTTTATTTAAAAAATGTATTTTTAATTTGCTTCAATCTAAACTTGTGATGATTTTATGGGGAATCAAACCGCCGTCAGACTGATCAGCCGTTGCCGTGGCAACCAGTACTGGATGTTTTTAACTGAACTGAGGAAAACATGTGGGCTGGTTTACCAACGCTGATAAAACAGGAACATGTTGACCTGATCTTCACGTTCAGAACCATTTGATGTTTTATAAACTACTCAGAGGTTCTGGTGCATCAACAGTTCTGAACTCGTCCCATCAATCAATACACATGTGATCAATAGATCAGTTATTAATTATAGTAAAACTGGTTCTTATACCTGCTGGTGTTTAG